TCTCCTTCTCCTTCTCCTTCTCCTTCTCCTTCTCCTTCTCCTTCTCCTTCTCCTTCTCCTTCTCCTTCTCCTTCTCCTTCTCCTTCTCCTTCTCCTTCTTTCACAAAGTTTCTTCTTAAATGTACAACAGGCTCCAAGGCAAAACTTCATTTTAACTACAGGAGGCAACAGATGTTACAGCATAGAATTCAGATGTTTTAAAAAGGAACGGAAGTAAGGTTCATCATTGCCTCAGTCTTATTTTTTCCAGATTTCTTAATTCCATTCGTGGGCAGCGGACCTTTGCCCATGGCCTTTGCTTTTAGTTCCCTGAATTTCTTCTGTTCTTCTTTTTGTTTCTTCTTGAAAGCCTTATCTTCCTCATCCGTCTCCTTGGTCTGCTTCTTGGGGCATTTCAGGGGCTTCTTCTTACCACCTTCACAGCCAGACATGGTGCTGGCCACCCATTCCCCAGACCTGCCACCCCAAATTCTCTTTTAAAGTCAACTCTCGCTTTGAGAGACCAGTTTTCATATCCCAAACATAAGCAAAACAGCTTGGGCAGCTGCAGACAAATGTCCTTGGCAACCAACCCTGATCAAATCCTTCAACAATTCCATTAGGGTGAAAAAAAATCTCTTTCTCTGTGTGTGTGTGTGTGTGTGTGTGTGTGTGTGTGTGTATCAATGCACATCTTTCCATATTGGCTTCAGCTGATAGCTAATTTCAGTCAGTCCTTGTGTAAACAAAATCCCAGTTCCCTAAATTAAGCTGAAGAGCTGTGTAATTTTTTTTAACCTCAATGGATTTACACACATACACACACACACACTCCACAGCAAAAAGAAATCAAAGAAACAATATCTTTTTTTAATCTTTTTACTATTTAATTTGAGTAGTTGTCCCTATTCACTCAGAGAATAGAACTGAGTCAGTGTCTATAGTCTTGGACTTTCCATAAAATTAGAGTGGTTCAGTGTGGAAATAGTTATGCTCAGTGCTGTGTGAGGGATATAAAACCACTGTATGGCACTACGGAGGTAATGGATGGTAAGGAAGAAAAGGCAGCCAAGGGGCCTCCTGCATGGCAATCAAACTTTATTTTTTGCTAATTCCTTCAGAGCATTCTGAACTTCCTCCTTTATTACCATTGCCTCTTCATCATATGTTGTTTCTTGAAATTCTTCTGTACCAGCCAACTCTTTTTGGTACAGTGACTCTGTAGACTCCTTCTATCTTCTTTGAAGTCTTCCTGGATAATTCAATATTCTATCCTTAAGTATTGCGACTTGAGGCTGGAATTTGTTCTTCAGCTTAAGAAATGCCAAGTGAGTATGGCCCTTTTGATTTTCTGGCTCCAGCTCCTTGCACATTTCGTTATAATACTTTGCTTTGTCTTCCTGTGCTGCCCTTTGAAATTTTCTATTCAGCTCCTTAACTTCTTGGTTTATTCTCTTTGCTTTGGCTTCTCAGTGCTCTAGTGCAATATTCCAAGTCTCTTCTGACATCCATTTTTGTCTTTTGTTCTTCTTCTTTTGTCTTTGTAATGACCTTTTACATTCTTATAGACAATACTCTTGATGTCCTCCCACAGCTCATCTGGTCTTCGTTCATTAGTGTTCAAGGCCTCAAACCTGTTCCTGAATTGTTTTTTAAATTCATTTGGGATAGCCTCAAGGTTAAATTTTGATTCCTGTGGATTTGATTTGACCTTCTTTTGCTTTAATTTGAATTTGCGTAAGAGTAGTTGATGGTCTGTTCTGAAATCAGCACCTGTCCTAGTCTTCAGAGCTAACTTCTCCAGTGATTCACAGAGTGTGGAAATTATCATACAAAAATAATTTCTATCACATGCAAGAAAAATCCTGCTGAAGATTATCCAGAAATTACTGGAAGAGTACATTGACAGAGAACTATCAGAAATACAAGCTGGGTTTCGAAGAGGCTGTAGCACTAGAGACAGTATCACTAGTGTCAGATGGATCTTGGCAGAAAGCAAAGAGTACCAGAGCAATATCTATCTGTGTTTCATTGACTATGCAAAGGCATTTGACTGTGTGCATCACAACAGATTTTGGCTAGCTTTGAGAAGAATGGTAATCCCAAAATACTTGATTGTGCTTATGCAAAACATATGAGGACCAGGAGAATCCTCAGAACAGAGCAGGGAAACACTACATGGTTCAAAATCTGGAAAGGAGTGTGTCAGAGATGTACTCTGTCTCCATGCCTTTTCAGTCTATATGCAGAATATATCATGGACTTTATGAGGAGAAATGTGGCATCAGGATTGGAGAAAGACTCATCAACAACCTACATTATGCAAATGACACAACCTTGCTTGCTGAAACTGAGGAGGACCTGAAGCACTTGCTGCAGAAGATCAAGAACTATAGTCTTCAATATGGATTGAAGCTTAACATCAAGAAATCAAAGATTCTCACCAGTGGGCCAACTGGCAGCACCATGATGGATGAAGAAGAGATTAAAGCTGTTTATAATTATAGCTTGCTTGGCTCCACAATCAACACTCTTGGCACCAGCTGTCAGGAAATCAAAAAGCTAATTTTATTGGGTGAATCTGCTGTCAGGGACCTTTCCAGAGTCGTGAGAAGCAATGATGTCTGTCTAGAGACTAAGGTGAGCCTGATCCAGTCCATGGTCTTAGCAATTTCTTGCTATGCCTCAGAGAGCTGGATAATGACTAAGGATAATAGAAGAAGAATAGATGCCTTTGAGTTGTGCTGCTGGGGAAGAATCTTGAACATACCATGGACTGCCAAGAAAACAAATAGGTCTGTCTTGGAGAGGGTGAAAATAAAATTCTTCTTGGAGACTAGGATTTTGATGCTCTGGCTCACATATTTTGGGCACGTGGCCTTAGAGAAGGACATCATACTTGGAAGGGTAGAAGGATAGCACAGGAGAGGAAGACCCCAGATGAGATAGATTGATACAGTAACTAGCCAAAGAGGGTAGGTGTGTTTGAGTCAGTGAGACTGGCTTAGGAGAGGGAAGGCTTCAGAGCTATTGTATCACAGGCAACGTGATGGCCCATAACAGCAGCAATCCTACCTCACAAATAACTCCCATTGGCATCTTTCTTAGAAAAAATTAACAAAGGAATATACCATCATGAGCTCAATAGTCAAGCCCTTCAGATAAATACTAAGTAGAATATATGAATATTAAGGATGAAGTAAAAAATTGCCCTTCCCTTTACCCCATTCCATTTCTTCAAAGGTAAACATTGTTCCAAGACCAAACATGGTCTTATTATGATTTGGGTGAAACTTTATAGAGCAAATCAGTTTCCCAGAAATTACCTTGTGACATGTTGTGAACTTAGTGGTAGATAGAACTGCTGACAAAGCCTGGAATCAGTTCATCCAAAAGGCTTTTCCCTTTTATTGAAAAAATTTTGTTGTATAAGACAAACAGTGACCAAGTTGCTTTCTCTTTCTATCTCCTGAATAGGAATTAAATAGTAAATAATTATTAAATAGTAAATAGGTACTCATTGGGGCAGAGATGAGTGTTTTTACACTATCAAGCCAAATGCACACACGTTTCTCCTTTGCATATTTCTGTTTGGTACAGGTTTGCCATGCGAGGAATGGAGCAACAGAACTGAAATTTGTGACAAGACCTTACAGAGAAGACATGGCAAGAGGGGATCAATTGTTTTAGGAATGAATGATGATGGGATCCAAGGAAGATGCTTTAAAAGCCTTAGACAAAGTTATGAGCTTGAAGATCGACCTGAATCCCCATTGGTTGAGAAGATGTCTAAAGACCGTCCATTTGGGCACCTGCTCTCTGAGAAGCAAGTTAAGGAAAAACTCCCAGCCCCCAAAGCAGAAACTACTACCCCTCAGAAGTTGCCTTCAGATAAAAAAGAAACCGAAGTACTCTATAGCATCATAGACCACAAAGGCAAAAAGGCCCTGCCACCACCACGCACACAGGAAGATGTGAGTGTATCTGTGGTTGCAGGCCCACCATCGTACAATGAAGGTAGAGCTTTTGGATCTAAGAAGACAGACATCAAGCGTCCTCCACTATCAGTAGTACAAAGTCCATGTGCACCTCAGGAAATCGTCACCCCCTCGGTGACAGTGGAGAATAAGGAGCTTCCTCCCTATCAGAAGCTGTCAGGACAGGAAATAGCATCCACCACGTACTCTAAAAGTGCCCATCTTAAGATGGAGTCGGCCCAAGATATGCCAAACATCAAAGAAAAGGCAATCCAGACTAGACCCTGTGTCCTGAAAGCAAGCATTGTAGATCCAGTGAGTCTGACGGTCAAGAGAAGAATTTCTATTGAGAGGATGCAGTCCAGCAGCCTTCCTTGTGCTTTGGAGGAGACTGAACCCTGTCAAGTCTCTAAGTCAGAGAAGGAGAGCAATTCAGAGGAGCACATGGCCAGTAAACAGTCTTTCCAGTCCTCAGAGAAACCTAGGTATGAGCAAAAAGTCCTCTCAAAATCAGAAAGCATGGCTGTGAAATCCCACAGTGTGAGGCCACAGATGGCTCACAGGTACTCTGCACAGGCCTTGGGCAAGCCTGAAGATGAAAAAGAAGCCTTCCCAGATTCACAGAAAGCAAAGGGAGAAGCTTGTCTTGAGAGGCAGCCACCTCCTCAAAGCTCTTCACAGTCCTTGGAGAAGACAAAAGACAGGCAAGAGGTCTTTGCACAACCAAAAAGTGGTATTGAGGGAGCAGGTGCTCACCAGAAACAGCAAATTCCCAGATGGCTTAGTCTGACACTGAGAGAGCCTGAAAAGAAAAGTATCATTTCAAACTCATATGGTTATGTTGAGAAATACTATTGTTGTAAGAATTGGAACAGTTCTGAGGAGGACTTGCCTCTTGGAAAGCCTTTGCAGGCCTTGGAAAAGCCTGAAGAGAAAATTCTGGAAAAGAACAAGAATGATACTGTCGAGCAGCAGCCATCCAGACCTCCTCTTCAGCCTTTGATGAAACAGCTTAATCAGCAAATCTCCTCACGCCTAATTAGTTCATCTACAGAACAAGGTGGTGGTTCCATGGAGCCCAAGTTTGCTGAAAGGTCCCCTTGCCAGTCAGGGATGAATCCTGAATTCAAGCATCAAGATCCCGAGGGCACTGCTGAGCAGGGCATTTCTACCACCTTACTGCCTTCCAGTGACCTCTCTGGGGACTTTAAGATGCATAAACGTAAGCAGTGGGTCTTCCCAGAGAGGATTAATGTTGAAGACATGGTACCTTTGAAGTGCAAGATTGTCAGACGTCACCCTAAGCCCCCAAGGAGTCTATTTGATCAAGAAGTCTTTGTGAGACCCAAAGTCCTTACTGCTGAAGAGAACATTCCAGAGAAATCAGAGAATATCCAGAGTGCTGATGTGACTGATGAGAGAATTTCAACAAATCTGAAGCCTCCAAGACGTGTTTTTCAGCTATTCTTGGCTGCTAAAGCTGAGCCACAAGCCTCTTCAGTAGTTGGAAACAGCACTTCTGAGGAGCAGCAGCCATCAACTTGTTTTTCCCAGCCCTCGATGAATTTGAAAGAGGAGCCCAAAGAAGTCCCAGTTCCAGAGGATGTTGCTGTGCAAAGGGACACATCTGTAGTGACACTGCCCAAATATTCTTCTAGTACCTTTGCCAAATGCCAGCAGGTCTTATTCAAGAGTACCGCTATGGGAGATGATACTTTAAGAGCGCAGCTGCCTCCAGAAGGCTCCTGCCAGCCCATGATGAGATCTCAAGCCCAGCCACAGATCAATAGGCGAGATTCAATTAGCATTTCTGCAGAAAAGAGAAGTTTCATGGAGTCACCTGTGCCTAAACAGTCTTCCCAGTCTTTGGTGAAGCCTAACGTTGAGAAACAAGCCTCTCTAGGTCCAAAGAGTGCTCCTTTGAAGGGGGACATCTCAGTGAAGATTACTGAATGTTATCCCAAGAGCCTGGTGACACCAACAGTCAAGCAGGGCACCTTTGGTTCAATGAGCAATTTGGTTCCTCTCCGAGGTTCTTTGCAGCCACGAGCGAGCCCTAAATTTGAGCAACAGGTCTCTGCAGGTCCAGCACCTGCTGCTGTTGTTGAGGAGACCTCTATGAAGCAGCTGCCACCCAGAGAATCTTTGTCTGTTGTAAAGCAGAAAGCCCAGCAAAGTTCCTCAAGTTTTGAAGGTATCGCTCTTGAGGGGGGCATTTATAAAAGGCCAATGCCTTCTAGGTATCCTGCCCCATTCTTAATAAAGTCTAAAGCCCAGGAAAAGCCCTCCCATCTGGGGATTGATACTGTGGAAGAAGACATACCAAAGAAATCAATGCTTCCTAAATATCCTTCTCAGTCATTTGTGAAGTTCATGGTGCAGCAAGTCTTTTCTGTTTCAGACAACCCACCTGTCAATAAGGGCCTTTATGCAAGTCCCGTGCCTCTAACTGATCCTTCCAAATCTTTGGTGAAGCCTAAATTCGAGCAGCAAGCTCAAGCCCAACCTGGGAAGCCAATGCCAATGAAGAGCTCATTACAGGCCTTAGGGAAGCCGGAGGACCAAAAAGAAGTTGTTCCACAGAACACTCCAGAAAGGGAGAGCAGCTCTAAAGAGAAAATCCTTCCCAGACAGCTATTTATGGCCTTGGAGAAGCTTGAGCAGGAAATCACAGTTTCTGAGAACTCTCACAAAAAGCTGAAGAGCTCTGGAGAGAAATTGCCTCCCACAGGCCAGGCTTTGGAAGATGCTAAAGAGAAGAAACTGGTTCCTTCACGTTCTATGAGTGCTCCTGCTGAGAAAATAATCCTCAAGAGTGATCCCGGAAGCTCGCTCTCACCAAGAGGCCCACCGTATCCAGGCAAAACCCAGAGACAGAGCCAAAGCTCTCAAGACCAGAATAAGTGCATCCCACCCTTGGCTCCCAAGCTTGCAAAGTTCACCGGTGCCCCTGCCCCACAAACACCCATTTCCGGGGCCCCTCCTATGAAGAAAGAAAGTGTCTGGAAAAGTGATCAGATTGATAGTCAGTTGTTAAGCTCACCTACCGTTGCGGCTGATATTGAAAACGTTTTTGGAGTGAAGCTGAGAAGAACCTTTACCTTGCACACATTCAAAAATGACAAACAAGAAGACATCCCTGAGCTTCTAGGCAGCCCCTCGAGCCCCACTCCGTCATATATAGAGGAAGGAGAAGCAGCCAAGAAAGCGGACGTCTCAGAAAGCCTCACCACAATGTCCAATGTGCCAAAGATGGTGCTGGCATATGAAGACATAATAAAAAAGGAATCGGCTTGCAAGATCCCAGGTGAGATTTTAGCTTCCCAGAAGGCAAGTAGGCTCCAAGTTGAGGGAAGAACCTGAAATCAAATTTTTGGAGAGGAGGAAATCAAGTCTAGCCTCCTCTATAGAATTGTTTACTGAGTAAATCCAGCTTGTGGCTCTGGGGCCAGGGATGAGTCCCCTTCTAGACAAATGGATTTCTAGTCGATTGATTTTGGCTCTTCCCTTTTTGCCAAAGTGCTCTCCCTCTGGATACCCAGCTACACTCTGGAATGGACACATAGTCCTCTCTTAATCCCCTCCCCCTGCCCCATGCATCGAACATTTGAGTGTAATATTACTCTTTATCCTTGAGGGAGTGCTTGTGGCCTAGTCTATAGAGAATTGTCCTGCTAACCCAAAGGTTACTCCTCCCTGGGGTTCTCCAAGGGAGAAAGACGTCAATCTCCTGTATGAGCCACAGTCTCAGAAACCTAATGGATGGTCAGATATGAGTTGGTTCCAACTCCACAGCAATGCATTTAAATTATTTTCTCAGACTACTTTTTACATATACTCTTGCTGCACCCCCACCCCCACCCCCACAATACTATGTCACTTTTTAAAAGTCACCTTCTCAGTAGAGAACTATGTTCAAACTCTCAGCCTGAAATTTTAGTTTCATGCAAATGCCTTCACCTGAAATAGCTGAGAATTGAGCACATTAAGATGTCTCTCCTGCAACCTTCATATTTTTCCCTCCCTACCACACTTATGTATACACACTTGCATAATGGACTATGAACCAAGAATCCCTAAGGGATTTCCCCTGCCCCGAACATAGACATGCAAGATTAGAGAAATGATGTCAATGGTCTGAGCCTTTGACCTGGTAAGGAGTTTATCCACCCCGCCTGGCAACTACTGTCCTTACCCTGATTTTTCCATTGCCAGAGAGTTGATTCTGACCCCATAGAACAGAGTAGAGCTACCCAACAAGATTTCCAAGACTATATATAGTCTTTACAGATGCAAACTGCTTCATCTTCTCCCCACCCACCCCAGACCCATGGAGCAGCCAGGCTTTAACATCTTAACCAGGGCTTTTCTACCTTGATTAAGGGATGAGCAAAGAATGGACAATGGAGAGAAAGAGATGAGTAGAGGAACAGTACATTCAGGTAGTTAAGTAGTACCACTGGGATGGAGGGCTAGATGGGGAGGGGTGCCCTTCACTACTGGATATCTCTTTTACGTGGCAATTAACAAAGATCTCATTTGGGAGATTATTGTGGGTCAGCCACAGATAGGCAGGCTTCAGATCGTGCCTGCTTTGCTGCAATTCTAACTCCATTCATTACTTTCTCAGCTACAGCTCCTGGCCAACAGTCAGACTCCACCACTTCAGAACCAGTTTGGGTATCCATGGCAAAGCGGAGGCAGTGTATCCCATTCCATGAATTCAACAACTCTACTACTGCCAACAAATTGAGCACCACAAGGGGAGTTAGAGCCAAGGATGAGGCTGAAGAGTCTCTATGGAAGGTAAGACTTGAAACAGCTCTAAGAAACCTGCCCCCAAAAATGTGCTGGAGTCATAGCTTAGGCATGCATGGGGAATTTTGTCAGGCATGCATCGCTCAGGGGATCATAAATCTTTAGAGGGAATGATGCCCTTTGTACAGATGTGAACAGGTCCTGCCTTATGAGCTTAGATTTTTGTGAAGAGCAATGAACATAGCAAGATTTTGTAGATCTGCTTCATAGCAATTTCCAGATTATGACCTTTCAGAGTTAGGTCATTAAACCTCTAAAAGGTAATCATGGCATAAAACTTAGTGACTATCCGTAAAATTCTTCTCTCTTTTTTCTTTTTTTGCTCAGCCACAGCCACCCCTGTTCACCCCCATCAGTGATTTTAAAAATGTTATTGGTTTGCATATAATAATCCATATATATAATTTTTATACATGTACTTTTAATCCATTCATTACTATACATTATATTTTATATTACCATTGCTCTGCGTCTATTATCACCCCATCTTTTCAAGCCCCCATTGTACCTTTCCCTTTACTTCATCCCTTCTCTACCCACTAACCTCTGTTAGCCCAGTGATTTTTCCCTTCCTCTTTTTTCAAAATAAAGCTTTATTTTAATTGTGATATTAATGAGTGTTCATAGGGAAGTTAAATTTTCATTCATTCATTGTTGCACATTTTATCCCCTCTCCTTCCCTTCTATCCTTAAAATTCTAATGTCATGTTCTTCATATAGTCAAGCTTCTCAGATTACTTGCTCAGTGTATAGATGAATAGGTATGGTGAAGGATAAAACTCTCATGTACACTTTTTCTCCTATTAAACCATGGATTATCTTCCATCTTCCTCTGGTACTTCCTGAGTCATTAAATATTTTGCCCAGAGAATTCTTTAGTATAGCACATTGAGGTTTATTTTTTCTTCTTCTTCAATTCTTTAATCTTGAAAAATACCACGTGTGTTCCTCTCTTTAGGTTTTCGAACTCCAGTTGTTTCCATTTATCATTTTACTACTTTGTCTTCTCAAGACACCGTTTGAAATATTCTGTTCAGATCTCTTCATCAGCTTTTCTATTTATTCATGTTAGCTTATCTATGTTCTAGAAAAAGTTTCAGAGTCTCTTTTGACATCCATGTTGATCTTTTCTTCCTTTTCAGCTTTTTTAGTGACATTTTTTAAGGTGCACTTTATCCATGCTTCTCTATCCATTTGTTTGTTGATGGGAAATCTTGTTAACCTCCCATCAATGAATTGATAGAATGTGGAACCTCTATATCCTGTTTGCTGCCAAGGGCCAGAGATGGTTATTCTTCAGTGTTATTATTATCCTGTTATCCTGTTTGTATGTATGATAAAAGAACCTTTACTTTCACATCTAAAGGTAGTGAACTTGAGCCACCTTAGGTTTTATGAACCTCAAATTCCAAACTAAAAGTCGTTCAGTGCCATCTTTCATCTGTCTGTACATCTATAATCTAGCTCTCTCTTTACTTTTGATCACTGTTGAACTCATTGTACACTCTTTTGAAGAAGCAACTTGGCTGTTTGATGTCAGGATTTAATGAGGTTTTCTTTTCTTTGTTTCACTCAAGGGATGTAGCCCTGAAAATGAAAATCAACCAAGAACTACTATGTCCACTGTCTCTAAACAGATGATGGCTGTCGAAAGAGGTAAAAAAATTTAGATCCTTGCCCTCAAAAATAATCCTGGCAGAATGTTTCGAAACTTGTTATATCTAACTCAAGTCATCCATGTCTTCTACACAGATTCATTATCATGACTGAAAATTATTATCGTGACTCTGTGTGACTCTCCAGTGAGACATAGACATTAGACTATTTTAGGATGTTTCAGTGTCTATGTTCATATAAAGTCAATGTGTAATTTTCAGAGTGGCCGCTAGTCTTTGACCTCACCAAAAGAGCTGTACATAGACACAGAACGATGATCACTGACTTAGATGTTTCAGTGACTGTGTGTGCAAGAGGAAAGTGCGAGTCATTTTCCAGTTCACAGCAAAGCAATATTTTCTCACCTTATATGTTCCCAATGTCACTGCTAAACATAGTCTATTATAAAGGCCTGGAATCCCTAGGTGTGCGGCCCTATTGCATCATCAGTTGTTTTACTGAATGTCATAGATTGGAAAACTCAGACAATATTACCTTAATGGAAATTTTTTTAACTGCACAAGACCATAAAGTGCCTTTCCCTTCTTGCTTCATTTCAAAAGTGACATAATAATAATTCCCAAACAACTGTCAGTTAGCTATTGGTATTAACTACATGACTCTTGAGGCTATGTTGTTCTTGTTGTTGTGTGAAACTGAGTCAGTTCTGTTGACCCTATATGACAGAGTAGAACTGTCCCATAGAGTTTTCTAACCTTTGACCTTTATAAGAGCAGATTGTCAGGTGTTTTGGAGCCACTGGTGTGTTCAAACTGCTGAACTTTTAATTAGTAGCCTAGTGCTTAATCACCATGTCATGAGGGTTCCTTCCTATGGCCAATGGTCATGTTGATTTTCTCCCTTTGACATCCCCACACTGCCTTTGACATTATCCTTGCAGCAATGATTTCTAGAAGCCTGGCCCCATAGGAGGCAGGAGTTTAAAAGTATTAAGAGGAGAGAGATTAGAGTAAGACTGAAAGATTGAAAAAATATGATTGCTTCCAATAAACAACAAATCACAATATCACTGGCGCTTTTTGTTGCTTGTATTTTATCTGCTGTAGTTCCAGCTGAAGAGAAGATGGCTCCAGTGGCTGCCATTGGTAAAGAACCCAGAAAATCCGCAGCTTTTCCAGAAGCTCACAAAGAACCTGTTGAATCTGATGAGCCAATTTGGTTTGCCATGGCCAAGGAAAAATCCAAAGCATGGAGCTACTTAGCAGATGTGATGCAATAAATAGATCATGGGTTGAGCATCAGCATTTTCAGAGCTAGTCACCAACAGTGATACTCATTTCATGTAGTGGCTTCTTGCCTGTAGTGATGTTGAATTTGAATGACATAAATGCCACAAAATACATAGCCTCCAGTGCAGTCACTGCCAGCATCAGCAAACTCAGTACACCACATGCTGGATTTTGCATTTCTTTGCCTTTTTTGCTAGTAGAAGATTTGTGTTGATTGTATTTCATTTATATACCAGTTCATACTGAGAGTGTAGCTGTTGCACCTCCTCACCTCCTCTTCTCAGAGTGGGCCACTCTAGTGGAACCACTATAGATTTTTCCTCACTTTGAGAACTCCCCATAGTAATAGGAAAACTATTTTAAATTTAAGAGCTTAAGTTTCCCCACCCCATGCCTAGAGGCTCACTCTGGGAGCACTCCTTTAACAGCTTTCCTCACAATAACAACATAAGTATTTTCTAATTAAGATGTTAAGTTCACACCCCACCCCATGCCTAGAGGTTCACTCTGGAAACAACCCATTAACTGTTTTCCTCACAGTAATAACATAAGTATTTTAAAATTAATAGCATGCCTTAAGGATTGCAGTGCAGCTTCTTGCCACTAGGCCACCAGAGTTCCCTCAAGTTCCCTTTCCCTCCATGCCTAGAGGTTCACTCTAGGAACACCCCATAATAGTTTCACCCACTGTAACCACACAGCTATTTTAAAATAAAGCAGTTAAGTTTCTTTTCCTTTTCATGCCCCCAGGTCTATGCTAACAAGTTATCAATGTCTTTGAGTTTTCTTCACTTTTACTGTATGAAAAGTAAATAAAAGCACTAATGCAACAAAACATGCTCTGTGGCCTGTCTCTGTCTGTGATATTGGGAGGGAACTGAGGTGGATGATTGGTAACTCAGGCCTGAGAGTTGACAGAACTGCAGAATGTTTTTAAGAGGGGTTGGCCTCCACACAGGTGTGCCTGATCAAGCTAGTATTCTCCAACTGGGTGTTGGTAGGAGGAGAATGGTATTGAAAAGGAGGATTGCATGCATGTACGTATCTGGAAGCAAAGAAAGAGGCCCTTGGGAAGGTGAGGTGCAGATGAGGATGTCTAGAGGGAGCAGGCTCCTTGGTGGTTTTACTCGTGCCTGAACCATGGTTCAATTCCTAGACCTTAGTACTTCCCTGTAGGAAGAAGGGCCACAGGAACAAGCCAGTTCCAGAAGCCAAGTGCCCCACTGGGCAGAGATAACAAAGTGTGACATAGAACAAGGGTGTGGTGGACTAGAAACTTAACCTGGCCATATTTAACACTCAAACATTTAGCAAGGTCCAGGACAAGGTGGGAGTTTAGGCTCCAGTGGGAGTTCCCATGTCATGTGCCTCAACATTAGTATCATTGAAATCAACTAATAAGCCATTAAATACATTATCTCTCTTTTCATGACAAAAGTACCTTCGTAACAACCTGCAAGGCTAAGTTGGGATTAAGGATTCTTGAACTCCTCTAAGTCATGTGTCAAGGATATGGAAGAACAGGCTTGTCCCTCCTCTGCCCATCCTCTGTGTCTCCTCCACCCCCCACCTGCCATATAAACACCCCTTAACCCTGAAAAAATGCTGAGCAGGCAAGACAGCTCTCCCAAGGACAGGCCCTAGGAGCACATACAGGCTCTGTTAGCAGACTTGGGGGCTATTCAGAGGGACTTGGAGTAAGAGCTACTGGAGACTCTGCCCTTGTTCATGTGGGCTGAGTTTCTGGCCCTCTGACAAAGAATGTAGCGATAAAGAGTGTCCTAAAAGTAATGTTGTTGTATTGTTATGTGCCATCAAGTCGCCTGTGATTCATAGTCATCCTATGTACAACAGTTTTGAAGCCTGCCCTGTCCTGGGCCAGTCTCACTGACTTCAACACTCCCACCCCCATTGGCCCAGTTACTTTATCAATCCATCTCATCTAGGGTCTTCCTCTCCTGCACTGTCCCTCCACCCTTCCAAGCATGATGTCCTTCTTCAAGGATATCCTCCTGGCAACATGCCCAAAGTAAGTAAGGTGGAGCTTCAAAATCTTAGCCTACAAGGATTGGTTTCACCCTCTCCAAGAGAGACCTATTTATTTTCTTGTCAGTCTATGGTATGTTCAAGACTCCTCTCCAGCACCACAACTCGAAGGCATCAATTCTTCTGTCATCCTTAGTCATTGCCTAGCACATCTTCTGTCATATTTATTTGGTCTATATGAACAATTCACAATGAGCTATATGAGCACCTTACTTATTGCCATCAAGTTGGGATCAACTCATAACTGACCATCCACTGGGTTTATGAAGCTGTAAATCACACAGAAGGAGACTACCCATTTTCTCCAGTGGAGCATGTGGTGGAGTTGAATCAAATCACCAGAGAGGCGTGGCCTTTGGGTTAGCAGTGTTAACTCCCTAAGGACTAGGCTGCCAGGGTTTAACAACTAGTACAACACAACACATAAAAAAACAGAACCACTTTGAAGCCTCTTAAATCATATTACGTGGATAACTGTTTACTTCTGTCTCATAACATGGCTCTCTAGCCATAAGAAACATGAATACATTTGAAACCATCAATCCTGGAGACAAAAAAAGAGGAGGAGCTGCAGAAGTGTCCATTTTACTTCACTAACAAACATTAACAAAACACCTGCTAAGAAGAAATTTTTGTGCCTAGGGCTTTGGGAAAGAGAGCAAAAGAAAACTTGTTAAAGTTCTAACCATTCCAGATTTAACACTCCAGTAAATGGGGAACTGAGCAAAGCAGGTACACATTTATTTTAAAATGTACAAATACATGTACACAAATGTCCATAGTAGCACTAATAAAACAGCTAAAAGGTGGAACTAACCCAGATTCAAGAATAAATTATGCTGAGTGACATAAACCTGTCACAAAAAAAGCAATTATGGTATAAGATAACAATTATGAAAAGCCAGGGGAACGTTTACACATAGAATTATTCTTGGCAAAACAACGATGAGATATCATCTCACCCCAGCAACAATAGCAAAGTTCAACAGGGCAGCAAACAACAAACACTAGTGAGTGAGTATATGGAGAGATTAGAACTCTAATTCACTGCTGATAGGGATGTAAAATGGTACAGACACTATGAACAGAAACTTTCTCCAAAATTTGGACATAAAAATCCCATATGAACCAGCAATTCCACTACTGGGAATATACCCTAAAGAAAGAAGAGTCACATCTCAAACAGATGTATGCACACCCACTGTTTATTGCTGTGTTTTTTACAATAGCAAAGAGATGGGAGCAACTCAAGTGCACATCAACAAATGAATGGTTAGAAAAACTATGGTATATTCACACAATGGAATACCATGCAGCACTGAAAAACAATGAACTCATAAAACATTCCACAGCATGGGGGATCCTGGAGGACGTTATGCTGAGTGAAATATTTCAGGCACAAAAAGACAAATACTGCAATAACACCGCTGTTAATAAAAGAGGACTGATATGGGGAGACTGGAGAGAAAAGGGGGAAGAGTGGATAGAAAATGAACACTGCAGTAGAACAGATGAAAAGAAGAACTGTCTGAAAGGAATATATGACTAGGTGTTATATGTATGACAATAACCTGGAATAAGGGGTGCATTGTGGGGTATGATGGGGGAGGGGAAGAGGGAGAAGAAAATGGGCAACAATGAATAAAGAAAGTAATACTTTTTTAAAAAAGAATCAGTGTTGGAGGGATAACACGGATGATAAGAGAGGGAGAAGGGAGTAAAAATTAATAAATAGATAAACTAGGTGAAGGAAAAGGCAATTAACACAATTAAGAGTTGATTATACATTGTAATTAAATAATAACATGAATCAATGACAATGTTATAAAACAAAATGGCTATGAATGATTGCATGAAAACCCAATATAAAGTTTAATCTTTCACATAAAAATAATAAAATAAAATCATTTAAAAAGAGTAATGATTAGGAAAAAACAATGCAAAAATAAATCAAATATCCATCCACTAAGGATGGAGAAACAGATCGTGGATAGTATATACATACAATGGAGTATTACATTGTCATGAAAAGGAATGAAGTGCTAATTGGTACCTGGTAAAAGGTGGTTGCAAGTTGAAACATACCAATTAAAATAAGACAGACACAAAAAGGTACATGTTATAGGATGTAATTGATATGAAATATCCAGAATAGTAAATCCTTGAAGACACAAGAGTGGTGGTTGCCAGGAGTGACTGAAATCTGGTGTTGGCAAAAAGTACTGAATATCCCATGAATTTCCAAAAGAACAAGCAAATCTATCTAGGAGAAACTTGGGGACACGTTGTGCATGGGACAATCTTTGAAATAGACATCATATTGGGTAGAGGGGAGGTTCAGAGAAAGAGAGGAAAATCTTCAACAAGATGGATTGACATAGTGACTGTAACAATGGGCTTAAGTATATCAGTGTTCATGAGAATGGTGCAGGAAAGGCAAGGTTCAGATCTGGATGTTCACAGGATCACTATGAGTCGTAGTCTACTCAACAGCACCTGGCCACAATAAGAAGTTCCTAATGGATATAGGAGTTTTAGAGGAAGGGGACAGTGATAAAATATTTTGGAATTATATGTATGTGGTGGTTATACAGCATTTATAAATGCACTAAATACTACTGAATTATTCACTCTAAATGGTCAGTTTTGTTACAGGAATTTCACCTCAATTAAAATAAGTTATGAGATATGTTAACACAGAGTATTACCACAGAGGGGGAAAAAATTCTTGATAATACTGATGGAGGACTGCGAAAGCTTTAACTAAAAGTGGAAATGAGGTAGGGTCAAATCCCCTAGGGACCCCACTACAATCTCATTCCCTTCCCCTCTTAAACTCCAGAGTCCATTCTCTCTCTCTCTCTTTCCTTTATTGTTATAATTTCCTTTTAGGACTTGCATAAACTTAAACAGACTACTTCTAGAAACTTTCATGCATTCACTT